CAAAGGAATTTATGTAACCCTAAAACATTTTTGAGGGCTAATGGCTAATAGATAATTTTAGCAATTTTATCAAGAGCTCAAGAAATGAATCTCTAAATTGTATGGTTTTGGTTCATCCTATTTTACCATGTATGCAGCTATTATCAACAATGTTTTTATTATATATAGACATTTATTCTTCGTAGCAATTACTACAATAAGTCTTTCAATGTTATCAAAAACAAACAGCAATCCTTATTTCTGCCAGAAGTCAGACTTTTTATTTTATTTTTAAAATCTTGGTGAATTTGTTGTGGGTAGACATCAAGTAGTTATTTGTTTCCATATATAAATTTGCTATTTATTTGTATGTTTTTCTACTGCTGTAGTCATTGTTATTTTTATTTTAGTAATCCAAGCTAAATGGGCAACCAGAAGTAATATCTGCTGGGGTTGGTTGGACATGGTTTAGTACATAAAGTAAACAAATTTTTTTAAAACTTTGCAAAGTGACAGGTATTAGCAATGTTGCAAGTTAAAGACTACATTTTTAGGGGAAATTTCAAAAGGTTTCACTTCCTGAAACCTTTTAAAATTTCCAGTGCACAAATGAAAATGTTTGAAAGCCTTGTTTAAGCTCATAAAAGTTTCATTTAAACACTGTAGAACTTTCCTATTGTTGTGTAAATTATACAGAAAATATTTTTCTATGGACACAAGGTTGAAACCATTAACTTCTTTAATTTCATTGTTTAAAAGGGATAAAATGATATTTGTATGTCTTTCATGCTGTAAAGAAAATGAATGTATCTTTCAGATGTTATTAGAATTATGACTTGATTCTAAGGACACCTATTTGTTTTTTTTTAAAAAAGTTTGCAAGGGATTGAAAAGAAGAAAGGGAAGAGTATTACACTTCATTATATGAAATGCAGTTTTAGAAGAAAAAATGTAATTTTCATTATGAACAAGAGCAATCATTATTGAACCGTATTTCAAATATGTACACTCTTTTCATTTTGCTTTGGCTCTAGAATAGAAATTTTCCAGAAATTTCACACATACTGTTTTTAAGTATAAAATAATTGAATTCTGGACCTCTGGAGTGTGGAAGGGTGTTTGTGTATGAGGGTAAACTTGCTGCTGCATGTGTTTACCATGGAGGAAAGTCCCCAGGCTTTGTCACTGTGGCAGTCACAAGTGAAGGACATCATTGTAAGAGTGTTGCTTGGGTCAAACCAGAAAACCGTGCCTAAGATTCACTGCAGTAAATATATGCAGAGGCCCCTTACCCAATAAATGGTTTTGCCTTTTTTATTCTCAGTTTCCACTGGGCCCAACTCTGACTTGTAGCAGTGCTTTCTTATATACTTAAAGGTTTATTAATTCAGCTGAACAAAAAACCTACATTTAAACTTCTGTAAGCACAATTAATTTGTTCAACAGCTTCTTTCTTTAAAAGATAGTATTTATTAGTTATCACTCATTAGAGTGAGTGACTCAGTGGGGACTTCATTATTTTGATTCTTACTTCCAAACCTCCAATTTTTAAAAAATCATTAATTTGACTCATTGTAAAATAAATACCCCAAGCAACTAAAAGGTGATATCTTCCTTTGTTAACTTTTGCCACAGCTGTAACATTAGTATCAGGCTCTCTCAACCCCAGAAGTTTCTAAAATTTAGCAAATATTACTGGTGATAAACTTAAACTAAATGTCCTATTGCTAAATAAAATTATTACCAGGAAGCCATAAAGGAGGAGATAGCCCTACTCACACCCTTAGACCCAAGTAGATGCTGATTTGTGGTTTCCACACATCCTCTCTAGTCACAACTGAGCCCATTTTGCCTTTTATTAAATGAAGTCATTTAGTTTCTACAGCTGAATTTTAGTGTTCCACTTATTTGCCTTCCTGGGTGAGAAAATCTCAACCCAACTCTGGGATTCTCTGACACCAGTCTTTTCCCATCTTTCAATGAGGTGGCAAGATTATTCATTCATTCTTGTAGTCTGTAGAGTAGGACAAATTTCAGTGCTAAAATTGATCTCTTGAATTTCAAATAGCACTTTATTTCATGCTGACTACTGAATTTTAATTTATACATTTAAAAATAAAATCTATACTAGTAATTTTGTAAATATGGAAAAAATTAGAGTTCATTAGATTGGATCCAAGTTTAAATGCTTTACAATGATCTCCTGATAGCTTATTTGATATTTAAGAGGTAACTTGTGTAATCTTAGTTTTGCCACTTTTCTGTAATTTATTTAGTACAATAAAGACTACCTAGTTGACTGTGTTACTGGACTCTGAGTGAGCAACCAAGCTTGGTTTACTATAATCCTGTCTGCTTTGCATTTTTTTGTACATTATATGAAAACTTGGAAATCCGTTTGTTTTGTTTAGATACTGCACCACAAGTAAAGTTAAGAGGGCAAAAGTCCTGACACTTTATATACATGTCCAGGGGCAGGATTTAGGAGGCCAACAACAGTTTACATTAAGCTGTTTTCATTTTCTGCCAGTAGACTGTATCTGCTTAAAAAAATAAAAACTGTCCAACCCAGTGTTCTTCAGCATCAGGACATTGCAGTTATAATCTTTGTTGTAATCTTTTCAAATAAGAAAAGCTAGTCCTTATTTTCTACAGTGTAGGCTTAATTTTAGGACTGATAGTTTACTATATACTCATCAATTATATTTTTAAGTAGTTTTTAAAATAATTACTTCTGTGTAGAGGATGATTTGGGACTTTTTTTTTTTCTTTTAACAGGTGCTATATGTAAATATGAAAGGGGAACGTCACTTAGTTAAAAGTCTAGTTTATTTCCTAATTAAAATATAATTTTACATTTTTGTGGCCATTTCATGTTTGAATCCACTGAACTAGTGGCAAAATGGAATTAGCCTCTTAATTTTTTAGACTAACTCCCCCTGCCCCATTTCACAAAAAATATCTCTTTCCATATAGTTTTTTCTCATAGTTAAGAGGCAAAGAAGCTAAAGGTTTATTTAACATGTATAAGCTTGAATTTGTTCAACACTGGAAAATTTGAAATCACTATGTCACTGTAGCTTACTGTATGCTTAAAAGGCCTTGCGTATTTGTCTTAACTTCACTGAAAAATTAGAATTCTTGCATTAATTTATGTTTAAAAAAATCTACAAATACTAACAGCAAAAAGGATAAAAGTGCTGTTTGCATTAAAACTGTTTAAGTCTAAAGAATGATTTATATTATATGAAATGCTATTACACATTTATTTTGTTGGCCATATTTCATTTTGATTGAGAAATAGTTGTTCAGGTACAAACGTGAAGAAAAACTCTAGCTGTGACTCTTAACGTTCAATTGTAAAATAAAGATATGCTTTAGTAATCTAAAGTATAGGTGTTTTCAAGATTATTTGGAGTTTTTGTTGTTGTTGTTGAGCTTTTCTAACAATGGTTATATTCATTAATGGATTGATCAGTTAGAAGGGATGGGGAAAATGCTAAGCATGAAATTTATTTCTAGAATTACTGGCTCACATAGTGGCTGTATTTGAGGGAAGGAGGTGAATAGGGAACTAAAGAGATTTAGAAGATTAAAGAATGACGAGAAAGCTTCTCCTTCATTGTGGCTACTGCTTGACTCCTCTCTTCTCCCAGCACCAGCCCCTCTATTCCGGTAATCCTGATGTAAGACCTTGTCAGTCAAAATAAAGAGCTTCTCTTTCTGTGTCTGAAATCAGCTTGCATCACGTCTTTCTCAAGTATAGTCAAGTATGCCGTTTTTCATCTGAAAGAAAATATTTAGAAGGTAATAAATTAAGCAGAAAGGCAAAAGTAAACATGATTATGCATGCCTCTGTTCTTACGTACATGATAATAAAAATTCTTTTTTTTTTTTTTTCTTTTTTTTGTCTTTTTTTCGTGACCGGTAACGGGATCACAACCCTCGGTGTCGCGCCCGCACCGTGCTCAACCAGTGAGCGGACCGGTCTCTATATGGGATCCGAACCCTTGGCGGGAGCGCCACAGCACTCCTAAGCGCAACACTCTACCGAGTGCGCCACCGGGCCGGCCCATAATAAAAATTCTAACAGTATCAGGAAGGTCCAAAATGAATTGTGACAGCCTCTTCCCCATCCCCCACCCCTAAGCAAAACCCCCTCAAGCCAATGGCAACCTCTGTTCAATTCCTTGTATTTTCTTCTGGGGAAAAAATGTGTACATGCATTTGTGTATACATACGCATTTTGTTAATGCCTACAGGATAGTATAAAATATTCTGCAGTTTGCTTTTTCATCTTGGAATATTTCCATATCAGCATATTCAGGTCTACCTCATTCTTTATAATCACTGCCTCTAGTACTCCATCATGTGGATATACCATAATTTAATATTTTTATGGACACTTAGATTGTTTCCAATTTATGCTGTGCAAACAATGCTGCAGTGAACATCCTTATACAAATATTTTTGTTAATCATTGCAGGTATATGCATAGGGTAAATTTCTAGCAGTATGATTGCTAGGTCATAGGGCTCCTGCTTTTTTAGATATTAATATATATTGTCTAATTGTTTTCAGAGTAAATTATACCAGTTTATGCTTCAACCAAAACAATGAGAATGTGTTTCCCCACATTAGAACTGTTATCAAACAATTTACTTTGCTCATCTTATAGATGAAATATTTTGACATTCATTTCTTCTGTAAGTTAAGTAGCTTTTCATATTTTTATTGGTCTTTTGTATTTCTTTTTCTCTAAATGATATATTGATGCCCTTTGCTCATTTTTATATCAGTTTGTTTAATATTTAATCAAGAGATGTTAAAAATTTGGGCTGAGCCCATGGCGCACTTGGGAGAGTGCGGCGCTTGGAGCGCAGCAGCGCTCCCGCCACGGTTCGGATCCTATATAGAGATGGCCGGTGCGCTCACAGCGCTCACTGGCTGAGTGCGGTGCGGCCGGTCTCAAAAAAAGGACAAAAAAAAAAAAATAAACTAGTCATTTGTCAGTCATATATAGCAAAACCTCTTTTCTTAGAATATTATTTATCTTTTATTCTTTTTAGGGGCTCGGGGAGGAATATGAAAACATTTTTAATACTTGTATAAACAAATGTATCAATCTTAATGATTTTTGAGTTTGGGGAATACCTGCAAATGCTTTACTCTAATTCCTAATAACATTCCATCTGTGACTGAAGCTTTCTTAATCACCTTAATCACCATCTAAATAACCTATTCGGTAGACTGGCACTCTGCTCTCTCTCTCTTTTTTTGAAAGACTAGTCAAGTGCAGTAAAGGGGGGGAGGAAAAAGAAAACAGTTCGATCTGTAACTGACAGTGAACCATCAATTGAGATAACTCACTACCTTGGGACCAGCCTCGGCTTTCTACTGTTGATCTCCCCTTGCCTTGGGTAACTGCTCTCAATTATGCTGGAGCTCTTCTAGTTCCACCTGTTAAGCTGTAAGCTTACTAAATTAATTGTGTTTATGTGCTATCATATATAGGCAAATGTATCTTTATATCATTTAATTAATTATATATGAAATGAGAGTGACATGAAAGAGGGTTAGACTTTTGCAAGAGCCCTATAAAGGTAAGTTATTAAAATGTTAAGGATTAACTTTTTTAATTTATTAAAAATAAGTATGAGCAAAACAATTATGAGAGGCTGACCAGAAAATAGATGATGCATTTGTGGTCTCTTTTTTGCAAAAAAGACTAGGATTATAATCAGGCTCAAACTCAAAGAAAAAAGACTTCATTCTACATAAAAAGAATCACAAGGAAATATACATTTCTATTTCTTAGACTAAAACAAAATGCATGTAACTTTTTATTCCTCCTTTGAATGATTTTTCATTTAACTAACCAAGTACTAGTTCTGATCCCATCAAATATGTGTGAGCTTGTACTGTAATTTATGTAACAATTCCTCTGTTGACAGACAAGTAGACAGTTTTTTAATTTTTGCTCTTGAAGTCTGTACAGTGAACATTACTTTTGTATGTTTCCTATTCATTCATGCTTGTACATATAGTTCAACTGTGTATAGATTTTCCCCCCAACGCTGTATTTTGAAAATTTTCAAACATAGAGAAAAATTGAAAGAAACTGTGAACATTTGTATATTCACTCCCTAGTTTCTACGATTAACATCCTGCTATTTTTACTTTATTACATATTTGTCCATCTAAATTAGTCCGTTTTGTGTTGCTATACCAGAATACCTGAGGCTGGGTAAATTATAAAGAACAGAGGTTTATTTGGCTTACAATTCTGGGACAGCTGCATCTGGCACAGGCATCAGGCCACTTCTACTCATGGTGGAAAGCAGCAGGCAGTGGCTGGTACAAACAGATCACATGGCGAGAGGAAGCAAGAGAAAGAGGAGGTGCCAGGACTTTTTAAACAACCAGCTCTCATGGGAATAATAGAGCGAGAACTCACTCACTACCCCTCCTCCCCCAGGGAGAGCATTAATCCATTCATGAGGGATCCACCCCCAAGACTCAATCAGTTTCCAACACTGTCACATTGGGGATCAGATTTCTACATGAGTTTTGGGGGGATAACACATCCAAACTCTATCACCATCTTCCTAAGCCTATCTTCATCAACCCCTTTTTTTATGCATTTCAAAATAATTTGAACATCAGAACACTTCACTAAACAATTCAGCATGTGTGTCATGAACTGGTATTCAATAATTACGTCTCTTTTTGACATAAAATTTTCACCAGTAAAATAAGCAATTGTTAAGTCTTCCATTCAGTAAGTTTTAACAAAGAGGTTTATTTGTGTAATTCAAACTCCTAAGTAAGTATTAAAGAACATTACCATTACTCTAGAAAGTTCCCTCTTCTCAGTTCATTACTACCTTCACCATTCTGTCATGTATTAATTTCCTAGGGTTACCACAACAAAGTGCCACAAACTGGACGGCTTGCAACAGGAATTTATTGTCTCACAAGTCAGACCTTGGTGTACAGGAATTTATTGTCTCACAGCTCACACCTTGGAGTACAGAAGTCCAAGGTATCAGCAGGCCATCCTCCTCCTGAGGGTGCCAGGGAAAGATCAATTCCATGTCTCCTTCCTAACTTCTGCTAGCCTAGGCATTCTTTGGGTTTTTAATGCACCACTCCCCAGTCCTCCTTTACATAGCATTCTATATGTTTTTATGTTTTCTTTTATATGGAGGGCAGGTGTTGAATATATCTTTAAGTGTATTTATTGGCCATGCACATTTTTACTTCGGTGAATTGCTTTTTTAGGTCCTTTGTGTTTTTGCAACTTGCTCTATTTAAACAAACAAAAAAGCTATTTGGAATTATGCTTCTGACCATGAGGAGGTAACTGGGTCCAGAATCATCCTTCCAGGGTAAACAACTAGAAAATTGGACCAAATATGGGGAACAACTTTTACAGTATTGGACAAAAGCAAAACAAGACTACAATCCCTGAGGGGAGAAGAATAAGTGACATGAACCTTACCATAAACCAGGTTTTCTGTGTGGAGATAATTTACAGACTGGTGCAAGAATATGAAACCCAGACAGGTCTGGTAATCATGCTAGTGGGGGAGAAAGATCAGAATTTGGGGGAATTAGGGCTGTTAGAAGGTATGGGACAAAGTTCCAGAGAGGAGGAAACTACAGAGAAGAAGATTTCAAGAAATTTACATAGGAGTCACCTTGAGTTTTAGACTGTATATAAATCTTTTATATGATGTAAACCCAGGAGGCCAGACAAATACTTCTGAGGTAAGACCATTACCAAGATGTAAGATGAATATTCCCAGAGATGGCCACAGGGCTAGGAATAATTTAAGTTCCTTCAGGCAGCATGGAGAGACCTCTTTGAAAATACAGTGTGTTCAGTAGAGACCCAAGAAGGGCCAAACCTTAGAAGTGAGTCTAAAGAAGTCCTGGTGTAAAGGTTGCTCTAGACTCATTCTAAAAGAATTTAAACCACAAAATGGTCAAGCTAATACACAAGTTACTCTGCCTGCCAAATAAAGTCCATTTGAAAATACCAGTCAACAACATAAAATTAATCGTCTGTCCAGCAGCCACACAAAAATCATGATACATAGGAGGAAGCAGGGAAATATGACCCATGTTCAGGAGAAAAATCATTTAATTGAAACAGACTCAAATGACAAGGATGATGTAATCAGAAAAAATGACAAAACACATATTAAGTGGCATCTGTATGCCCATGGATGTAGAGGAAAACAAGAAAATAATGACAGTAATGAAGTATTTCTTTTTAAAAAGAACTAAATTGAGGCTTGTGGGAGTGATGTCATAGAAATCTGTATGCCCATGGATGTAGAGGAAAACAAGAAAATAATGACAGTAATGAAGTATTTCTTCTTAAAAAGAACTAAATTGAGGCTTGTGGGAGTGATGTCATAGACGATGACAGAGTAGGAAATTTCAGGACTTCATCCTTCCATTGAAACAACTATTTAGCTTGCAGAAACTGGAGTTACTATTTTTAAACTCTGGGTCCTACCTGGAACACTTGCAGCATCCTGAAGAAAGTTTGAAGAGTCTGGTAGATGTTGGTAAATTTCAGGCTTTCACATGATAGTGGCTACCATCCCCCATCCCTGTGGCAGACAGCTATGGGG